TCTTTCTTTCTTTCTTTCTTTCTTTCTTTCTTTCTTTCTTTCTTTCTTTCTTTCTTTCTTTCTTCCTTCCTTCCTTCCTTCCTCCACGTGTTGGTTCAGTCTGAAGTTCTACCGGAAGTGAGCTGTTTTGACCATATAAAGCGAGCCTGACCATAAAAGGAAGGCTGATTTGTTTTAAATGAGATAAAGTAGTTCCAGTACATGTGTGTATCACAGCGCTCATTAAGTCGCAGTTTAGCGGGATCAGACCGTGCACAGGAGACAGCTTCAGTAAAATGTGTTCAGGTTAAGGAAGCCGGGGAGGTTTTTTTTTTTTTGTTGTGGAACTACATTTAAAGGCGGACGGGTATGTGCGGATGCTGCCGGTCATTTCCTTATGTGGAGCGGAGTGATCTGGTAGGCGGGCCTCGCTGTTAGCTGCAGAAAACAACTTTAAAAGTCTTTATGTTTTCGGTGAATTCACGCAGGAAATGTTGCGTGTTTTTCAGCGGTAGGAGCGAGTTGCGGGCCGGTAGGAGCTGCGGGCCGGTTGGACCGGGCCACAGGCCGCTGACCCCCGCAGGCCGGTGAAGAACAGCGGCTCTACTTGTTGAACGGTAGCCGAGCTGCTAGCGGCGCTGCCGGGCCTCACAGCTCCCAGACCCGGGCACCGCTGCCTGCCTGGGCCGGCCGGCAGGAGGAGGCTGCAGGCCCTGCCAGCACCAGAACACGGGCCCGGAATGGGCACCAGAACCGAACCAGGGAGCACCGCCGGGACCGCYCCGAACATCGACACCGATGGAGGCCGACTGGAGGACCGGGAGTACAGCACCGAGGTGGCCTTCAGCGGCTCCGACCTGGACTCCGAGTCCGGGGACGAAGACGACACCGGAGGATCTGGCGGGGACAAGAGGGGCGTGAAGCGGGAGAGGAGCGGCAGGGAGGACGGTCACCCAWCGGGACACTCCTCCGGAGGACTGAGCCGGGGGTACGGGGGGCTGAGCTCCGCTGTGTCCGGGGTCAGACCCGGGAAGAAGACCCGGGGCCGGGTCAAGATCAAGATGGAATTCATCGACAACAAACTGAGAAGGTACACTACGTTCAGCAAGAGGAAGACCGGCATCATGAAGAAGGTGAGTGTGGCGGGAATCACCTGAGACAGGTAGACATGCAGGGGTCAAAGGTCAGCAGAGACGCTGAGTCCAGCCTCAGGTCTTCAGGTAAACTCCTGCTGGTCACGTGACCGTCACAGGTAAACAGGTAGCGTGTCTTTGTTTGTCTCCAGGCCTACGAGCTGTCCACGCTCACAGGTACGCAGGTGTTGCTGTTGGTAGCCAGTGAGACGGGTCACGTTTACACGTTTGCCACCAGGAAGCTGCAGCCTATGATCACGTCAGAGACCGGGAAGGCTCTGATCCAGACCTGCCTGAACTCTCCGGACTCCCCGCCTCGCTCCGACCCGTCTTCTGACCAGAGGATGAGCGCCACCGGCTTCGAAGAGACCGACCTCACCTACCAGGTGACGGAGACGGACGGCTGCCCGGAGGGCCCGAAGGTAAAGCTGCGCTCAGGGGCTTTAGGACCACCAGGTGGGTCCAGTTCTGGTAGACCTGCAGACACTGGCTGTGTCTCAATTCCCCATGTGTCTGTTTATAAAGTCTGTACTGGTGACCTGGATCACTGTTGGATTAATATGATTTTATCCAAATTAACTARGTGACGACMAAATCTGTCAATGCATRRATTAATTACAGCTTCAGTTTATCTTAGAGTCGTTTGTACAATTACCAAGTCCTGCTACTGATAACCTGATGCTAATGTGCTAAAAGATTAACCATTTATTTAATAACAATAATAAAGAATAACTTGACAACATCCTCATTTTAATGCAGTGATAATTGCAGGCTTTTTTGTGTAAAGGCTAGAATATTGTGACTTTATTCTCGTAATGTTAAGACTTTATTCTCGTAACTTGTAGTTGCATTTTTTTAATTTCACATCACTGCAGCATAAATTTCATCAGCGAAGTTGCCAAACTTACTATTAAAAACAAATCCTTCGGTCCAGGGTGAATTTTCAAACTACTCTGACTTGTTAAAAAATNACTGCTACACACTGCTAACCACTGCTATCCACAGCTGCACACTGCTATCCACAGCTGCACACTGCTATCCACAGCTATACATTGTTAGTCACAGTTTTACACGCATTACATAAACAATATTGGCAAATTTCAAGTGTACACAGAGTTAATGTCACATATAGAAGGTTTGGATAAATAGTGTTGTGCACAGTACCACTTGTGCTGTTTTAAGTATAAAATTGTAGCACATACATTTTATGTCATTAAATAGTGTGTAATGCACTTAGAATATGATTAGGTGTAGAAAAAATGTGTTAATGAAAAACTTTAACCTTGTAAACCATTGACTTGTTTTGTTTGTTCGATGTTCAGATGGTCATCAGCCAGCAGAGCAGCAACAACTTGACAGAGCTGCAGGTCGTTAATCTGGACATCCACCAATCAAAAGATGACTGAGGGTCACGTGACCAACTTCCTGTTTACATCTGTTTGTGGCCACATCGTTTGTTCMGGTGAGCTCACCTGTCGCTCCCTTTATGAAGGAAAACTGCTCCTTCAGTGGTCACATGACATCACAGAGTCACATGATGTGCTCGATGAAGGCTGGTTGGACAGGTGAGAAAGGTGTTCCGTCAGTGACAGGAAGTGGAAATCTGCTTTTCAAAATAAGACTGAGATGAGTCTGGGAGCAGCCTGTTTGTTTTTTATGTATTTTTCATCTCATCAGGATGTAAACATGGGACCAAGCCTGGAAACATGCTGCAGAGGTTCAGGGACCTTAAATCTGTTCAAAAACATCAAACTTTATTGACACAGCTTTGCATTACAGACAACACTCCTGTTCAGGTTGAGACTCCTGGAGACGACTGTCAGAAATTCAAACACCTGAAACAAGAACAGGACATGTGAAGCAAACAGCCAATGTTCTGATCAACTGGTTCACAAACTGCTGACGCTGCATTRAAGGACACTCGGACATCTGGAAACTGAAGTGCAGCTGATTCTGAACCTGCTCTCTATCCAGCYCTGGAACTGGCTTTGAATCCTGGTCAGTCCAGGCTTGTTTGACTTCATGTTTCTAAAATGATCAATAAATGCTTTTGGAGTGAGGTGGTTGGTTTTAACTGAATTACTCAATAAATGGAGGCAGCTTTAAAAAATATCTTATCTGTTTGACAAGTGAAGTGTCTTCCAGGAGGAATGTTTATCCATAAACATAAATCTCAGATGATTATCTCTTTAAACTCTGAGTTTAAAGAGTAGTTTTTTTTTGCAAATGACAACACAATGAAACCTTCATATAYTCAATCTACTCATTATTGCAGAGTTTTACTTGCATAAATATAAATTGTGTAAAAATAGTTTTTTGTTTGTTATAAGGACTTTGAAACATTAGTAATATTATGTATATATGAACCCTGTAGCGAGAGAAAAGCTGTTAAAACAATATCAGCATTGCATTAATAATACCTATTATTCTATGTATTATTTTTTTTTCCTTGTTTCTCTAGGTCAGAGGTTCTCAAAGCTATAACTTTGGCGTCCACAAAATATTGTAATAAACTGTTAATTTTGTTTTTCCTTTAAGAAAATCATAAATGAATAAGGGGGAACAATGCACCAGTAAAATAAACTTGCTCAATCAAATAATTATTCTCATGGAATTTAGGCATTAAAATGTAGTAAATCAGTTTAYATCAGCATGAGGCGGGTCCCTGGAATATTTTGCCATCTGTACGGGGTCCTCAGACCCAATAAGGTTGAGAAACCCTGCTCCAAGTGAAGCGAAAGTCCTAAGATTAGTACAGTCCTCTTTCCAGAAAGCAGCGCGTCGCTTTGTGTTTACGTCACAAGGGCGACACGTGGTAGCAGCGTCGCAGCGGCTCGTTATCGGAGTCTCAGAGACAGGCCAGCCGAAAGAAAACCCTCCACAACGATGGCTACAGCCGGGACACAGGGCAGAAAGAGGCTCCTGAAGGACGAYGACATGACCAAGGTGGAGTTTGAGACCAGCGAGGAGGTGGACGTCACCCCCACCTTCGACACAATGGGACTGCGAGAGGACCTGCTTCGCGGGATCTACGCTTACGGTAGGCCGGGGATTAGTGCGGCCTTCGCGGGGTAGCGCTCAAGAGGCTAAAGCTAACCGGACTTCATCGAGACAGAAGTTTAGTTTATAAATCTATTCGGTGCTTTTCGTGTGGTGCCTCTCGCTTGATTCAGCATGGTTCGAATCAGACCGGACCCGGTTCTTAACGTTGTTGAACAAAAGGGTCCCGGGAAGATCGCGGTGTTGTTTCCGATCTAGTTCCGATAAGATGGCYGCTCGTGTAGGCAACTTCTTCTAGGCTGTATACCTGTTTGGACCTCTCTTTTGCTCACAAACCWAGCCACTAATTTCACCTATATATTTGTTTTAATATTCAACACATCTCTCAAGCCTCTAAGCCGACCCAAACCAAAGATGCGGAGGCCGAAAGCCGACGCTCCAGCTAAGCTAGCGCTCCACGAGTGACCACAATCAATGGATGTCTCAAGGCTCTCAGCTCAAAGACTCACAAGTCCCACCAAAACACCGGCGACACATGTCCGAAATGAGGAAGCCAACAAACCCATTATAGAAGCCATAAACAAGCTAACAAATAAGATCGATAACTTCGGTGAGCAGCTACAGAACGCTGCTAACATCCAAGCTAGTTAAAATGAATACAGCCCACATAAACACTGTAAAACTAGTTTAGAAAGACATTCCTGCTCTCATTAAAGTAAATATGGCGGTGGTGACTGAAAGAGTACAGAAGTAGAAACCTACAAGCACAGCTGCAATCTGAAGATTCAGGACTTAAATAAATATTTAAATCAAACGATGAAGTCATCCACATTCTAGGCAAAACATTCACATTAATACAAATTATATAATACATTTTAAACTGCAAGTATTCTTTTCAGGGATGCACTAACTTACATCTGTATCATCTCACTAATAAAGCTGGGTTGGTATTAATGTCTGGTTTTGATTTGCTTGTTGGTGTTTGTGTTTGTTNTCATCAACTATTTACTTGTAACTGTTTTATTACATTATTTTTGCTTATTCGTTTTAACTTTTGTTCATTTTATTAAAGCTTTGATGAAAATAAGTTGCATTTATTTGTACAGTTTGTAGATTTTGATAAAAAACAATCAATATTCATTGTAAAAGTAAGCCACAACAACCAACTGCACCAGATAATAATATAAGTTTACATTAACTTGGTATGATGGCAGAGTTCAGAGTATCTTCAAAGTCTCAGTTAATAAAGTCTTTATTTCAGTTTAGTATAGTTCAGTATAGTTCTTCAGTATTCTAGTCTGCACTGTTTTCTTTTCTTGGACAAATAAAGTATAAATATTTACATGGTAAAGTTTTACCTCGGTGGCTGTTGTAGAGATGAACTGTGACTGGTTGTAAATCCAACCATGAGGACAAAGTATAGTCCTGTTTGTTRGGCTGAAGTTGCTGACCAGAGAGGGATCGTAGACCCTGCATGAACTGAAGGAACCATCATCCTGACGGGGGATCCTGAAGGCCAGTTCCTCTGGGGTGATGGTCCAGCTGCTCCCATTCCTTTCCTCTGGGGTCCCAGAGGAGCAGCGGTGAGGAGGGGTTGCAGAAATAAAGTTGTGCAGAAGAAAATGAAGGGGCAGGATGGCACGAGGCAGGCAGAGGATAATCAGGATCAGAGACTGAAATCTACAGAAGCCACCAACTTCATTCAGGATCTCCTCAAACCTCATGTTGAGCTGAGCTCTGTCAGTCCCTGGTTGTACTGGGAACTTGTCTGATCTGTCCGAGGTTTCTAACAATCACTTCTTTTTAGCTGGAGAGAAAACTCAGAGGGAGGTTCTTACTGAGCTGAATCTTCATCCACATTAACTGTTTGGGTTAACATGTGAAASAATGTTTCTGAGATGGTTGTAGGAAGGTTCAGACCCAGAATAAATAAAACAAAATGATGATGTGGCAGCAAAACTTACACACCTCGAAGAAGGGACCACAAGCACACAAATAACACAGGAAGACAAACTGGAATATAACACCAACTGACCAAAAACTGAGGAGGTGGAACCAGATTGAATCCACAYGGCAGAACCTGCAACATCTGAATTGATGGAACAGGTTAGAACTGCAGGTTGAGGTGGTCAATGACTGAGGGCAGGAAGAACTAGAAGCACTCAGAGAGTGCAAACCTCCGCCAAGACCAATTTCCCCNTGAATCCTGGAATATCCTCGGCCGGTGAGGATACACAGATGCATTTTGAGAGTTAGTCGGCCTCATTCCTCGGCTGCATGATGAGGAGCCTCTGAATTGGGACAGTCCTCGGTGCGGGGCAGTGACGTCTGCAGATGACAAATGTGCACTCATGAGGACCCAGACCCTGAACTGAGACACAGCCATTGAGACATCACATGACTGCAGGTCTACTGAAAAATGAAAGTAAAACAAACACCTCCCAGACCCAGGGGTCTCACACAGGTGATCCAGATCACCAAACCACGCCCTCCTTAGTGCAGGTAATAACACCTGGCCATGTCCTCCTCTTTAGTGCAGGTAATAACACCTGGCCATGTTGTCGTTCTTACAGTAACAATACAGTAAACGCATTGATCAAAGGGACTACTCATGGGGACATCTGTCTTACGTCTGTCTCTGCAGGACATGATCAAACCAACGTTCACCCTGGCAGCAACCACTCTTCCCTCCTCTTCCTCCTCCTCTTCTTCCTCCCTGGCCATGCAGGTGCAGACCAGCGCCCCCTCCTGGCAGCCCTCCTCCTCCAATGGGACGGTGTTAAAAACATCAGCAGGTGTTGTACTTCCTGGAGGAATCGCTTTGATGTCAGGTAGGTAGGTGGGCGGGGTTTCATACCACCTTTAACAATGAGGACCACTKTGTTCAGAGGCAGAGAACCTGTCCCTCACAGCACATATTATGGTTGTGGACATGGTCCTCATAAAGATCTGTCCAACTAAAGACACCTGAAACACTTCTGTAGGTAAACATGATAAAAAAAAACGTTACTGACTGAGAGATGAGGACAGAGACCATCATCAGAGGGACAGCACAAGGTCAAGGACTGGGACAGGAAGTTAGAGACCAGACTGAAATGCTTTGGACGTGTCCAGAGGAAGGGACAGTGGGTATATTGGACGTGTCCAGAGGAAGGGACAGTGGGTATATTGGACATGTCCAGAGGAAGGGACAGTGGGTTTATTGGACATGTCCAGAGGAAGGGACAGAGGGTTTATTGGACGTGTCCAGAGGAAGGGACAGAGGGTTTATTGGACGTGTCCAGAGGAAGGGACAGTGGGTTTATTGGACGTGTCCAGAGGAAGGGACAGTGGGTTTATTGGACATGTCCAGAGGAAGGGACAGAGGGTTTATTGGACAT